ACACACACACACACACACACACACACACACACACACACACACACACAGAGAGAGACTCCTCTCACAAGAAGATTAGATAGATTATTTTAGCCTGGAGATTGTTATGGTCTGTATCCTCAATAACTTGTACTTCCTGTTCCCACGGTAACAGTCACACTAAAACCCACGATCAGTGGCCAAGGCCCCCTCAGTTTCTCCCATGACGACTTGTTGCATTTAGACCCAGAAGATTAAAGGCCATTTTTTAATTTAGACAGCAACGGAGCCCTCAACGGTATTTCTAAGTGCACGTAATCTGCTTTGGGATGTTTCATTCAAGAATATTGCGATCGCCAAACCCATGGCCCATAAAGCAGCATGCCTGTAGGTTTAGAGAAGGAGTTGTTAACCACAGGGCATAGCAAGTGACAGGAAGGGATTGCAAGGATCTTGGTGTGGTTTGTTGATGTTATTTTTAGATCTTCAGATGAGATTCTGGCATTTTGTTCAATTTTCTTTTTAGTGTAAATGACCCCAAGATCCGTTTTTACAACTTTGCATAACTACTGGGCAAGTACAGTAGAAAATGGTTATTTAAAGAAGCCTTAAAATGGGTGAAATAAAATCTCCTCAAAGCGGTCTTTGTATATGCCAGGGCTCAAAATGACTCAGTTATTGAAGGGGCGGGAATTTTTTTCTACAAGCGTCACCTACATTTTCCTACATGGGCAAACACTCAGTGTTCTTCAATGCCCATGATTTAGACTGGCTTATTTTTCCAATAATAAACTATATCAGTGAGGAATGTGAGGCTGTTTCCTTTGGACCCTCAATGCTCCACTTAAGAAGCCGAGGGGTCGAACAGTGGGGGATTATAGGGTGAATCATGAATAGGTCTTTCTCAACCATGTATGTGACCGCTCTAAACTTGTGAGCAGTGATGCTGCATGCCTGTGTGAATGTTCATGCTCGTCCTCTGTGATGTGGGACTCAGACTTAGTCTGGCCTGTAGCGACGATGACTATGAAAGGGCAAATAAACATTCTGAAATAACCCTCATATACAGTGCATAGTCTTCTCCACAGATTCCAATAAAGACTGCGCACACGTGCACTGACAAAAAGAAGAAGAAAATGTTTCAGTTCATATTATCTCAATGTTTTGTGAAATCATAGTAAATGTTTACCACACTTAACTTAGATAGTGACCACAGTAAGCATTTTATCTTACAAACCTCACAGAGCGCCAGCATGACTGTAGACTTAAGACTTGTTCCAGCTACATTTTGTTTTCATTTTCCAATTCTAATGCTTCATTACTTGAGCAGCTCACACACAAGCATACTGTACAGAGCCGTTGCTGATGGGCATCTAGTCTCACACATGTTGATTGAACATGTGTTTGCCCTGTGTCACTGATGGATCAGATTGTGACGTAGACCAGTTGCCCTGTGGCTGTGCAGGATGGTAGGACTGTGGGGGGGAGGCCTAGCATTCTTAAATTATAGGCCCGTGTGGGATGTCCACAGGAGGTAATGAGTGGATAGCCTGAGTCATGCTCTGTGTCGGCCTCTGCACTTCAATCACCAGCCTCATCCACATGGAAGCTACTGTGACCGAAAAGATCTGCATTTCGTTACACTGCACTAGGCGTAACCACAGAGCGCATCATGTGACATGCTACAGAGGAGTCTTGTTGAACTTGGATCCTTTCCCCTTGAGTACGACCATCTGTGTCCCTGGAGAGCAAACATTGACGGCAGTGTACAATTTCCCAGCGAGGCCCCTAAGAAAAGACTAAGAACCAGACCAGAGCCTCACCTCACATCTGGACGACCCAGAGGTTAGACGCCGGGGTTGCAGATAGTTGGAGGGGGCTTCCCTCATGTTCTTGCATTGTCCTTGTTGCTTTGACGCATTGCTTCTTTTGTGCAACCACTGGAGATGCTGTTGTTAGAATGTTATGAATTCATATAGCACACATTTTATGTAAATCAGGAGGGTTTGGGGCACCAGATGTTTTTGACTGGAGATGTGCTCTGCAAATGGAAGTGTTTTGCTTCACAACCCCTGTCTCAATCAAACTTATAGATAAAATTAACATTTTTCTTAAATTGTCTCAGTGACATCAAGTTTAAATATCCCTAGCTTTGTCTTTTTTTTCTGCCGAGTGCCTCTGACAAATGACTATATTAAGACATAAATGACTGGCATTGTGTCCTTAAGTTGTTTCTTTCCTACGGTTTACTATAAAACAAAGATATCAGGTTGACAGCACCTTCAAAACTCTCAACATCATTCAACTTTTTAAAAAGCAATTTATATTATATATTCTTACAGATTTGGAAAAATGCATTCTGAAAGCATATCAGTATGAATATCTTTCATTAGTTTGGTTAAGAATGCTTGTAGAGTTACAAGATGACAAATTTAAACAAAACGGCCCCAGAAATAACTGCCAAAACATTAGAGCAATCTCTCTTGGCCCGCAGCCAAAGGTCTTACAAGGCAGCCTGTCCTGTTACTAATCTAAACCAACTGGTGGGAACCTTGCCCAACTTAGTGAAATTGCAAGCTAAGGCAGAACAAGAAAAGTCCACTGAGAAAAGGAAAGAGACAAGTTCTGGGAGAAGAAGCGGAGAGGAAGTTTCTAAAATAGTGAGGACTAAAAGTACATTAGAGGAGGGTGGAGAGAATAAATGCATACAGTGTGCTGTGAGAGTTGTGAGACGGGGGATGGGGCTCCAAGGATGTGACTCAGACACTCTGTCAAAACCAGCGGGGAGGGAACCTGATGAGAAAAGGGATAGAACGGAGGAGAGCAGGGGTGGAGTGGGGGAAAGAAAACCCAGCCCCTCTTACACCACCCCGACTCTTTGGCAATTCAGCGTCAGCAAAAACCCTAATGTGATCAAGATGGAAGTTGTCTTTGGACTTTTCACTGCTCCCCGGCTTTCTTCCGACAGTTTTACGGCGAAGATCCTGACTGGAGTCCAGAAAATGGCTTGCAGGAACTAAGACTAAGGATTGCTTACAGACTTTCACGGATGTCAAGTCACTTGAAAAGAGATGGATTCATATTTCCCAAACAACTACGCATTGCTTTCAGTAGATGAATGAAAAGGCAACTTGCACTACATTTCTGGATAACTGCACTCAAAGCAATTTCTGGATCTATAACATATTTGTTGGATTATCACCCGGTGTTTAATCACTGAATATACAGCTACCGGATTATATCGTAAAACACTGTGTCATCACTGGAGAATTTACAAGAACTAAACATTCTTACTCCAGCATAAAGGAATTGTATTGAAGTGTCAGCGTTGCTGTCGGTTTGTTGGGCAAATAGAAGGAGCAACTGCTTTGGGGCACTTTTTGTAACCCCTCTTTACTTAATTTATAACCAGGAGCAGGTTCATGCCGGAAGGTGAAGATGGCAGTTGGTACCATCCGGTTCTTGTCCTGAGGAAACAAAAGGTGAAAAAGTGGAGAAAAAACGCCTGTCGCAAATTTTGATCATACTTTTACTGCTAATAGATGTGTTGGAAAAATTGACTCTTTAATGTGAACAATGATAGAAAAATTGTATTGAAAGTATATTTGTAGTCTCTGACTGTACAATACTCTTTATTCTTCTATCATGTTTTTTTAGCAGATGTTCAGCTTGAATTGAGTACATCCTGCTTGTTCCCTGTGTTCCTTTACTTCTGTACATTCTGACCTATAACGACAGGGGGAAAAAAACTGGGCACAGTACAGAGCACGGTTTGATTCATGTATAGAACCCACAGTATGCGCTATGATAATGTTGGCTTGTGGACACCCAGCTGTTCAGGGACACTGACTGTCTTTTGCACTTTAACTCCCTTTAGTTACATCATTCTTCATTTTAGTGTGTACAGAATGACAGTTAACCAACACCAAGAATTCTTCAGACCACTATTGCCTAAAGAATGTCGATTGAAATTGCCGTGTAAATATGACGAACTGGTTCGGTTACAGATCTCATAAATGTAAAGATGTTCAAAAGTAAACAAGAGAGGTCTACATAATTCTTTATAATTATCATGATGTTTCAGGTGGCTTTGTTGGCTTTATTCCTGGAAGCATCTTGACACTTCAGGCAAAGTAAACGGTTCAAGTTCAAGAACATGCAATGTAGTTGGCGTGCTGTGATGTGAAATTTGGAACAGCTCTGCTTGAAAAGATAATCCCACGGTAGATTAGCATAACTGGGAATCCGGTTGTTTTATACAGATCCAGCAGAGTGTATACTTTCCAGGGCATTGTGAAAGTGTTATAATTACGCCCTTCTTGAACTTTCACTCACTACTCCCAAGCTGTTTACTTTAAGAGTGAAACGTTATTTACCATATTGTCATCTGCACATTCAGGTTCTCTCAACTCATAACTTGCGAACACTGGCTGTTTCTAATCCCCATTTCTCTTCTTGATTGCAGAATATCTGGTTCTTCATTTCTGCCTGCTGTCAAAAGCAGCTCTATGGGATAGCACTGGCTGTCCACCATGCCAGTAGCCATACGGAAAAGAAGTTGGGAGGAGCAGGTGACTCATGCTTCTGGATTACAGTACAGCTATGATGATCTGGACCTGGTCTGCCGCCATGGGGTGGACAGCGATGGGCCTTGGATGGGAGCAGGGTCTTCCAAACAAGGTCGACGGACGAGGTGTGCCTCCATGCCAGAGGGCTGCCACCAACTGCCCACACAGGACCTGGCTCAGACACTTAAGGGGCCAGCCTCTGTTGTGTATGATAATACTGCATCAGAACAGTTGAAGCTGATGGACAGTGATGTAAAAGTTCCAATGGATTTGCAGGAGTCAGTTCATGGCCCTGGTGAGCTGGTGGACGTTGATATTCCCCAAAGGGCCTCTGAATCAGAGCATCTCCATATCGCAAACATTGGGAAGTCTGGAGAATTTCAACGTGACTCAGAGAGTGGGACATCCAGGGAAAATATTTCTTGTGCAACTGGTAGCAGCAGTCACACTAAGAACACTATCAGTGGTGAAAATGGCACAGAGAGTAGTCAGAGTCACAACATCTGCAATGACGATAATGTCTTTAAAAGTCCACATATCTCACGTGAAGGGCAACAATGCATCTTTATCTCTTCAAACAATGGGCCTCTACTGTCTAGATCTGCTGGTGAACCGCTTGGCAAACTTCCAAATCATCAGGAAACAAAGGAGAGCCATACAGAGGGTTACAGCAGACCTCCTGAAATCTCTGAGGCCGCACTAAACCAGTTCTCTGCTGCTGAACTGGAACCTCAAACTGACCTTCCAGATGTAGAGGAAGAGAAGATTTCCACTTTTGGCCATGCTGATGCAAGTGTAACCTTACCTGTTGGTGTGATTTACAGTTCAGTTAATATGATGGAGAGTGGTGATGTGATGTCACAGGCTAACACAACTGTGGAACCAGTTGTGACTTTAGTGGTAGAGGAAGTATGTGACAAAGGAGTAACTGAAAACCGGAGCGCAGAGGTGGCTGTCAAGCTGGATGGATTAAATGACCCAGAAACTCTAAATGAAAATACAGGACTTCACTCAAGAGACACACAAGGACTAGTGCAGGATCGTCACGACTGTACTGGTGTTTTGGATCAGGCTCATGGTTGTGAAATATCCCACCAGACATTGTTGGAACTGCGTAATGTTGAAATGACAGCGATGAACGGGCCTCAGGGAGAGGAAAGTGCACAAGCAGAAAGCAGCGAGAAAGCAGCAGCAGAGGTCAGGTATGAGCCAATCACATCATCTGATATATCTTTCAATGGTCAGTGTTGGTCTATGACAGCTAACAGCAACGTGTCATCTGAAGAACTGGATACTGGATATTCAGAAGAAAACTACACACAGACAAACATTACTCAGTGTGCAGACCGGTATGTGGAAACGACGACCTCCGTTAGTCAACCGATGGAAAACACTGATGTCGGCTCTGTGTCCAAAGAGTTGGCTTGTTGTGACGATGAAACCATAGCACTGCAGTTGGAAAATAGCTGTTCAAAACTGGATACTATCCCAGAAGTGTGCCACGTTGAGCCACATGACACCCCTGTACTGGATCCTCAAAAGAACATTGCCTCAGATTTCAACCAAAATCCACATGTCCAGCAGTCCCATATGGATGTTAAACATGCAGGCTCTGAACAGCACACTGAAAACCTGCCACCATGCCCTGCAGAGGTCAACGAAGAGCTCTCACCGGAGGGACTCCATGGCAACCAAGCCCTTGGTTGTTACCTCAGTGAGTCACCTGCCCCTGAGGTGGCAGATGGTCAGAGGGAACACCAGAGGCCAGGAGCCACAGTCTCTAGAATGGAGGAGCCAGAAGAGGCCGCACACACCGCTATTTACAGTGACAAACAACTTACCAGTCCGGTTTTAGATGGAACAAATGAACCTGGAGATCCAAAAGAGGACAGCGTGGTCCAAGTGCGAATGAGAAAGGTAAGGCTATATTTGATATCGATGCAGTGGATCACAATTGATATTTAAATACATCTTGTCTTTTGTTTCTGCGTAATAATTGCGATTCTGGCACTTTAACACCTCGAAATTAAGTTCCTTTTATTTATTTTTTTATTAAATGAACTGACACTTACTGGGCATTCGTGGACTACAAATTATGTTTGTCCCACACTCTGGCAATCGTCTCGGAAAACAATGACTTCATTCTTACATGCTTACAGATCGGTGAGTGGGGGGGGGGAGGATCTGTGAAATGTTTTACTCTTTCTCAACGGCTCATTGCAAAACAAGGTCCTATAAGGGCATGGAGACCATGAACACAGAAGGAGCTGGAGGCTCATGTAAAAGGCTTAAACTGCACTCTCCAGAAAATACTGTATGTTGTTCTCTTTACAGACTCATTACACACTGCTAGCGGGTGTGCTTGTGGGTACAGTTCAGTGTCAAAAACCTAGAATAAGCAGTCCATGGAGTTGGGCTGATTGGAACAAAGCAATGATCCGGGAATGGACACAGTATTTATTCATTGTTAGTAGTTGCAGTGTTTGCCTTTTTAGAATGACAACAAGAAATCCATTAATTACAATGCAGAGCGCATTAAGCAGGCATGTTGTTTAGACAAGCACCATATTGTGGAAAGTCAGATTCTTGTGATAGGTTCTAGCTGAAGACGATCACCCGCTTGTGAAAATCCCATGCATGGGTTGTATTCAAGTTTGTGTTTTTGTACAGGTTTAGTGTACTGCTTATACATTTTGCATTTTGAAACGTTACAAAAACATTTATTTAACGGTTTATAAAACACTGTAGTGTAGTTGTGAGGCCATTAGAAGGACATTTTTAAGTGTTAAGTGTTTTTTCATTGTGTATCAAGACTATCTGTTGTTTTCTGAGGTTTAGGACTTGTTGTGATAGGATATCAAGAACATTGTGTTATACTGAAGCGTGCAACGTGGCGGTTAATAGTGGCTTGTTGGTCAGTGTGTGGGGTGTGGGATGTTTTGATTCCCATGGTTTTGAACTTACTGCAATATACTTTCAAAGTAGTGTCTCTGTATGTATCCGCACAGATAATGTGGGATGTCATGTTGTTGCTTATAAGACACTTCTACAGCCCCCTTTACAAAGTACATAACAAAAATATTTTTCAATTAAAAACGTGACATGAGCTATGATGCTGAGTGAAGACCAGTTAGTGCTTTTCATATACTGATGCGAGTTGAATTGGGTAATCACAGATATTTTTCTCTGCATTATTTCAACACAAATTCCATCCATGTGTGCGAAACAATATTTGGAGGCCCTCTTAGTCATGACCAGTGGTGAAGTCACTCCCATCAGCTGCCAAAAACCAGAGATGACAGTCCAGTGCAAGGACATAGAAAACCAGTGCCGCATTTATCACCACTGGCTCCAATTTTAATCTTAGAATGGCTTTCAACTTTTGGATTTAATATCCGAGAAAATCAAGTAGAGTTCAGCCATTAAATCGTAGGGCACCAAGGCAATTCATCCACAGGGTTTTCACCACGGGGTGTATTTACATACAGTATGAAGCCAGTTTACTAAGAAAATGTGCTTTTGGGAAGGTCATGAGCACAGGAAAGAAATAAAGTTGCACAAATTAGCATTATCATCTCCAAGGGAGGTAACAGACTGTATTTTGCATAAAGAAAAAAGGAGAAGAAGCTCTTGGATATCATGAAGGAAATTACAGAACTGATGTTATTATCCGTTAGTGGACAATGGCAACAGCAACCTGGAATTATCTCTGACAAGATATTGTACGAACAAATGATTATGTCCCCAGTGAACCATGTTGTTGTTGCACATTCAGTTTGTAAATTGAAGCCATCTGGTTTGTATAATAGCTTCGGATTAACCTGATATTGGGCTTTGTTACTGTGTTTATTTGTTTTAGCAACAGGGCTTTATCTTGACCCCAGGGCCAAACTGGCTCAACTGTCGTTTATCTGACAGCAGACCTCTTGGCAACATCATCATCTCAGTGCTCTCTCTGATGAATGAGGACTGAAAGGCAGAAAAAGAGACAATCAACTGCTCATGCTTATAATGTTTATGAATGAGATACATACATGAAACAGTGTATGCATCATCGTGTGCACACTATGTTTAGCTCAGCAGAGAAATTGACCCTTGAATTTAATGGACAGGTTTGACAAATGGGATGAGGGCCACAGGGTAGAAGAGGGGGTTTGAAAAAGAGAGCAAGGAAAGGGGAAGGAGGGGTCTAAGAGTTCAAACAGTGTGGGAACTGTCTCCCATCTCAAAAAAACAGGAAGTCGAGAGGAATGTAACAGAAACCTCAAAAGATTGGAAAGAGAGAACAGCAACCTTCTGAGAACACCCAAACCACCAGAATGCCCCCGAAAAAACGTTGCCTCTCTGAGGCGCCTGACATCGCACTGCACTTGTTTTTTACTCTGCTGTTTTGTGGTTGTTATTGCCATCTCGAGCCAAATGCTTTTGTTCATTCAGTAAGGTCTCGTAAAGATGTCATTGTTTTACCACGATACAATGTTTCATTGTGAAACTTTGCCAAGGACACAGAACGTAGCGATGTGCACTGCCACTAGCTAGGAATGCCAATGAATGCATCAATGCGAGACACATTTCCATGACACACATGGCCCTCAATGTCTATTTGCTCTCTCGGCAAATCCAATAACAACGGCTTTTGACAGGCTAGTTGGGCACTAACTGGAAAATAAATGTAAGCGCAAGTCATAAGACGTTTGGGGTGCGGAGCAGGGAGCCAGGCAGAGCTGGAGCTTGTTTACCGTGATGCAGATTCTATAGGATCCATAAACCTGTCAACCTTGCACACATTAGCATTAGTCACAGCTCATATGAATGTTGTCATCTGAACACACCCATTGTAAACTTAACTAAAACAAGATCTAGCCACCGCACAGGATATGTTTAGTACTTAATAACGATAAGATTTCTCTCTCATTGATCACACCTAAGAACAGACACGCATGAAATCCAGGCACACCTTCACACGGTAACTCGCCTCCATACCTTTGCAACATACAATCATAGTGGCTGTGTGTCCCATGAGGTCACCCTCATAAAGTGTTTAACAGGGTCTGTTAGTGGAGATTGCGATGAGGTTTGTAGGGACTAATGAGCTAGCCGTGTGATGTAATTTCATGGGGTTCTTCTCGGGAGAGAAGCTCAGACAGAGAGCCACACCCGGAGCCGGTATAAAAGACGGGCGGAAGGAAATGAAAAGCTATGCTGTGTTAGGAAGTCCAGAAATGTTTGAACTTCAGACAAGGGTTTATTTTGCATCAAACAAAACAGGATTGAGGCATAGCGAACAAGGACGGAGTGGTGGGTGGAGTGTGAAGGTGGTATGGATTGCATGTTATTTAGCTTGTCTTACTGACGAGACACCACCTGAGGTCAGTGTGAGGCTTGTTATCACAGCGTGAGAACGGATAGTTAAGCGCTGCAGATGAGAGGACTAAAGGGAAAATGTTATAGCTCTTATAGCTCTTATGATTAAAAATGGACCAGAGATGATACAAACGAGATATATATATATATAT